GGTGGACTGAGCACCAGCCTGCGAACCAAAAGGTCGCCAGTTTGATACTCAGGGCACTTGCCTGGGTTGCAGGCTAGGTTCCCCAGTAGGGGGCACCAAAGAGGCAATCACACATTGCTGTTTCTCTCCCTCTCTTTCTCTTCCTTCCCCACTCTCTAAAAATAGGTAAGTAAAAATCTTTAAAATTGTATTTGATTTCTGGTTTCATACCATAATGGCTGGAAAAGATGCTTGCTATGATTTCAGTCTTCTTAAATTTTTTGAGAACTGTTTTGTGGCCTAACGTGGTCTATCCTGGAAAATGTTCCATAAGCACTTGAAAAGGATGTATTTCCTGCTGCTTTGGGGTAAAGTACTCAAAAATATCAATTAAATCAATTTGATCTAATGTTATTTAAGGCCACAATTTCCTGGTTGATTTTCTGTCTGTAAGATCTATCCAGTGGTAACGATGGAGTGTTAAAATCCCATACTGTGACTGTAATTCTGTCAGTCTCTCCCTTTATGTCCATCGATATTTGCTTTATATACTTAGGTGCTCCTATGTTGGGTGCATGAATGTTTACAAGGGTTATTTCTTCTTGTTGGATTGATCCCTTTATTATGAAATTTCCTTCGTTTTCTATTATAGCCTTTTCCCCATCACCATTTATCCCCCCATACACTCTTCTACCTCCACCCTCCTCCCTGTCCCTGCAATCCCCACATTGTTGTTACAGACTTTGTTTTCAAGTCTATTTTGTCTGATATAAGTATTCCTACCCCAGCATTTTTTCCCATTTCATTTGCATGAAGTATCTCTTCCTATCTTTTTATTTCAGTTTGTGTGTCTTTTGATTTGAAATGGGTCTCTTGTAGATAGCATATGTATGGGTCTTATTTTATTATCCATTCAGGTACCCTTTTGATTTGAACATTAAATCTATTTACCATATTTTTCCATGTATAATATGTACTTTCTGCCAAATTTTTGAGGGAAAAATAAGGGTGTACATTATAATGGGAATAATGATTACATACTATTGGTATAAAAATGGGTATAATAATCCCATGTATAATGTGCACAAAAACATGGATGTGCATTATACACAGCAAAATATGGTACATTCAAAATGATTATCAATAGGTACATAGTTATTGCCATTTTATTATTCATATTTGTTCTTTTAGGATTTTACCGTTTTAGAGAGGGGGGAAGGTGGGGAGAAAGAAATGGAAAGAAACATAAAATCAATTGCCTTGCTCATGCACCCAACTAGCAACCCAGGCATATGCCCTGATTGGAAATCAAACCTGTGACCTTTCGGTTCACGGGTCAGCACTCAATACACTGAACCACTCCAGCCTGGGTTATTCATATTGTTCTTTTTGTTTTCCTTCTTCTCCTTAAAAAAGTTCCTTTAACATTTCTTTTAATACTGGTTTGGTGGTGCTCCTTCAGCTTTTTCTTTCTGGAAACTCTTTATCCCTCCTCAATTTCAAATGATGGCTTTGCTGGGTAGAGTAGTCTTGATTGTAGGTCCTTACTTTTCATCACTTTGAATATTTCATGACAATCTCTTTGGGCCTGCAAAGTTTCTGTTAAGAAATCAGCTCACAGTCTTATAGGAGCTCCCTTTTACATAACTGCTTTTCTCTTTCTGATTTTAAGATTCTTTCCTTCTTTCTTCTTTTTTAGACAGAGGAGTAAGGAGGGAGAAATACAGGGAGGGAAACATTACTGTGCAAGAGATATCAATCAGTTACCTCTCACATGCCCCCAACTAGGATCTGGCCCCCAACCCAGGTATGTGCCCTGACTGGGAATCAAACGGGTGGCCTTTCAGTTCACAGGCCAGCACTCAATCCACTGAGCCACACCAGGCAGGGCTACTTTTTTTTTTTTTTTAAATAAATAGTAGCCATCCTAATTGGATGTTTTCTGTTACTTGTCTCCCAAATTGCTGATTCTATCCTCTGTTTTATCTAACCTGCTATTGATTTCTTCTAGAGTATTCTTGATGTCAGTTATTATATTCATTTCTCACTGGTCCTTTTTATGATTTCTATGTCTTTTTTCATGCTTATTATCTCTTTGTTATGTTCTCACCATGTTACTTGGTCATCCTTACAACCAGTGTTTTGAACCCTGTATCTGGTAGATTGCTTTCTTCCACTTCATTTAGTTGTTTCTCACTTTTCTCTTCTTCCATTTGGGACATGCTTCTTTGTCTCTTCATTCTGGTTGCCTCTGTGTTTGTTTCTATGTATTAGGTCTGCCATGTCTCCCATTATTGGCAGACTGGCCTTATCTAGTAGGTGTCCTAGGGGCCCAGTCATGCAGTTTCCTTGGTCACGTGAGTCGGGTGCTCCAGGAGTGTCTATTGTGTGGGTTGTATGTGCCCACCTATTGTAGTTGAGCCTTGATTACTTTAGGCACGTCAGTGGGTGGGATTGACCATCAAGCTGAATGGCTGTGAGTACTGGCCATGACCACAGCATAGGAGCTCCTGTGGGGACTGACCCCAGGGAGTGAGATCACTCCAGCAGGCTCTGATGTCTGCCAAGACTACCCTTTCTTTGTATGTGCTCCTTGGGGAGTTAATTGCACGGTGCACTGTCATGGTCTGAAGCCAGCCACCAGGTATGTGGGTTCTGGGGCCTCTTAACAGGGGTTCCAGTGTAGGCCAAGGTCAGCCCCTGCTTATGACCAGCCCAGCGCTACCTGGTCGGAGCTACAAAGAGACTGCAGTTGGTACCTACCAGTGCTACACCTGGGGACACACGGGAGATGCCACTCTGCGAAGTGAGGCCAGCTGCCACCAGTATCAAGCCTGGGGACACTCAGCTAAAGACTCTGGGCACCCCAAGACCTATTTCTGCCTGCTGGCTGCTGGTAAGGCTCAGTTGCTGAAAGAGGCTCAGGTAGTATAAAAGTTAGGTGAGGCGGCATCTCATGGAGTCATCAGGGTCTTGCAAATAATGTGTCGGTTAATGCAGATTCTGATTTTGCAGCAGTGCTGAGCCTGGAGACACTCAGTGAGCAAAAGGCACAGGGTACACTGAAGCCAGCTGCCACCAGCCTAGGGCCAGCAGACCTTTCATAGTTTTTTAAGAAAACCCAAAGCTCAGGCCAAGGCCACTGAAGGAGCCTCTGGCAGTATGCGAAGTAGGTGGAGTGGGGTCCAGGGAATCATCAGAATACAGCAAGTGGAGTTCACCAGGTTAATGCGAATCTGATTTGGCTGTATGGGAGAAGTGTTCAACATAGGGACAATGATGGCTGTCCCTCCAGCCCTCACCCTGAAACTACACAACTCAGTTTCTCCCTATGTCTCTGACATCTACCAAGCTGATGTCCCTTCACTGGAGCCCAGGGTGACTGCTTGTAAGCAGGAGCCTGTGCACGGGCCCTTTAAGAGGACACCTGGTATTACAGTAGCCTTCTGTCTCACCTATATGGATGAAATCCCCACTGATTTTCACAGCCAGATATTATATAGATTCCTCTTCCAGGCACTGGTACTCAGGGCTGGGGTGAGCAGTAGGTGCAGGGGGAAGGGGGAGTGAACAGTGGGGGGCTGTGACCTCTGGTTCTTAAGGGGGTCCTGTGAAGCTGAGATTTCTCCAGTTCATGGGTGTGGAGGCAGCCTGTTCCCCATCTCTGACTCTCCTAACAGTCTTGGTATGGCTGCTTCTGTATATGCTTACTATGGGAGGTAGGTTCAGCTTTTATTTAGATGGTTCTCCAATTTAGTTGCAATTTTGATGTGGTCATGAAAGGAGGTGACCACAGCATTTACCTACTCTACTATTGTGATAGGAACTCCTGAGAATTTGCATTTCTAATAACACTGAGAACCACTACAATAAACTAATTGACAGGGAAAATAAAAATTCACCACTGTAAAACTGGGACAATGCTGGCAGACTATTGGCAACAGAAATGGAGCCTGAGGGGCTGACTTTGCCTCATCACAATGACTATTATTGTCACTTATAAGAATCACCAATTTGAGGAAAAATGTTGGAACTTGAGGAAAGAATACTGGGGCCTCTCCTCACTTGGGAAATCTCCTTCTACAGCTATTACCTCAGATTCAAGGCTTTGTGTTATACCAGAAAGGTTCTGACATATTCAGGGTCAGGATGTAGCTGGTGAAGGAGTAGAGGTGGCAAGAGTCCACTGGATGATGTCTTACACTCTACCTTCTCTTTTTTGTACAAAGGCATCCCCTTCACCCACAATCTTCCCTGACAGCAATCTTCCCACACCCTGGAAAGGACAACAGGCAGCTGCAGCTTCTACAAAGTCCCAGCCTAACCCTCTGCTCTGTTTCTCTCTTTCCTCCCATCAAGAATTTGCTCTGGCTGGTGTGGCTCAGTGGATTGAGTGTCAGCCTGTGATCTGAAAGGTTGTCAGTTCGATTCCCAATCAGGGCACATGCCTGAGTTGCAGGCCCGGTCCCTGGTTGGGGGTGTGCAAGATACAACTAACTGCTGTTTCTCTCACATATCGATGTTTCTCTCCCTTTCCTTCTTCCTCCCTTTCCCTGTCTCTGAAAATAATACATAAAATCTTAAGGAAAAAAAAACTTGCTATACTTCCCTTAGTTTCTCCTTTAAAAAAAAAAAAAAGAAACAAATTTGCCCTGGCTGGCATGGTTCAGTTGGTTGGAGCATCATCCTGTACTCTGAAATAAAAGGTTGCAGGTTTGATTCTTGGTCAGGGCACATACCTAGGTTGGGAGTTTGGTCACAGTCAGGGAGCGTACAAGAGGCAATAGACATTTCTCACAACAGTGTTTCTCTCCCCCTTTCTCTCCCTCCCTTCCTCTCTCTAAAATCAGTGAGCATGTCCTCAGGTGAGGATTAAAAAAAAAAGCTAATTTAAACACACTCAAAGAAACACTGAGTAATATTCTTTATATACCATATCCTCTACACACCAAGAACCTATATACTGAGCCATTTCCCCAGGAGGAGAGAAAACAAGACATGAGGGAATTATCAATCCTTACCTGACAGTCATAAAAAGGGTGCCCCCGCCAGCACATCACATCCAGCACATAGTAGGTCTGCTTCACTTCACTATAAATGCAGTCCAAAATGGTGTAGTCTGGGATACAATGCAGAAAGTCGTTACACGGTACCCCTCCAATCAGGATCCCTACATCACAATCCACGGAGCCACATCTTAGGGCTTAGGAACTGAGTCCAACAATCCTCAATGCTAGCAGCAAGCACCAGCCCTGAGGAATCAGAATTCAGTAGGGAGTGCATTCTTCATGATGCAGCTGAAGGGTGACCTCGAGTAGGACAGCACAGGAGGGATCCAGGCAACCCTTAAGCCAGGTGGAAATTCTGAACTTTAGATAAATTGGAACACTTAGTGACCTTAGAGAAGATCAACTTTAAAATTACTTTTTAAGATTTTATTTATTTAGACTTCCAGCCAAGATGGAGGCATAGGTAGACACACTGTGCCTCCTCGCACAACTCAAATAAGGACAAAAATTTAGAAACAAAAAAACCCAACCAGAACTGACAGAAATTTGAACTGTACGAAAGTCTGACAACCAAGGAGTTAAAATAGACACATTCATCCAGACTGGTAGGAAGGGCGGAGTCGGGCAGCTGGGTGGAGAGGAGTCGTGGCAAAAAAAAGTGGTGGCTTGTGGACTCCCTGGCACACAAGGCAGCAGCTGACAGACCCGGGCACACAGGCGGTGGCTGCCAGACCCTGGGCTTGGGGTGGCAGCTGGCAGACCCAGCGAGGTGCACAAGGCGGCTGGTGGACTGGGCGGTTCCACATTCACATGCAGATAAACTAGGCAAAACTGGAGAGCGAGACAGACAGCGCAACCCAGGGCTCTAGCAAGGGGGAAATAAAGCTTCAAAACACTGATTGAAAACACTTGTGGGGTTGAGGCACTGGTAGAGACTCCCAGCTTCACAGGAGAGTTTGTTGGAGAGACCCACCCACACAGGAACTAGCACCAGAAAGGCCCAGTTTGCTTGGGGGAAGCAGCGGAAAGGACTGAAATCCTACAGAGAGCGGAGCAAACACCATTGTTCCCTCTCCGACCCCTCCCCCACATACAGTGTCACAACCCAGGAACTGGGTAAACTCACAGTGGTGAACATCTAAGGCTCCGCCCCTCATACATAACAGGCGTGACAAGACAAAAAAAAAATGGCCCAAACAGAAGAACAGATCAAAGCCCCAGAACAAATACAACTAAGCGACCAAGAGACAGCCAACCTATCAGATGCACAGTTCAAAGCACTGGTGATCAGGATGCTCACAGAATTGGCTGAATTTGGTTGCAAATTAGATGAAAAAAATGAAGGCTACACTAAGTGAAATAAAGGAAAATGCACAGGGAACCAATAGTGATGGGAAGGAAACTGGGACTGAAATCAATGGAGTGGACCAGAAGGAAGAAAGAAACGACCACACAGAAAAGAATGAAGAAACAAGAACTCAAAAAAATGAGGAGAAGCTTAGGAACTTCCAGGACATCTTTAAACATTCCAACATCCAAATTTTAGGGGTATCAAAAGGGGAAGAGGAAGAGCAACAAGTGGAAAAGTTCTTTGAACAAATAATAAAGGAGAACTTACCCATTCTGGCAAAGGAAATAGACTTCCAGGAAGTCTAGGAAGCTCAGAGAGTCCCAAAGAAGTTGGACTCAAGGAGGAACACACCAAGACACATCATAAGTACATTACCCAAGATTAAAATAAAGGAGAGAATCCTAGAAGCAGCAAGAGATAAGGAGACAGTAACACCTACAATGGTGTTACCTCCTCTAAGGAGACAATCAATCAGACTGTCAGCTGATTTCTCAAAAGAGACCTTACAGAAAAGAAGGGGCTAGAAAGAAGTATTCCAAGTCATGAAAGGCAAGGACCTACCTCCAAGATTGCTCTATCCAGCAAAGCTTTCATTTAGAATGGAAGGTCAGATAAAGTGCTTCTCAGATAAGGTCAAGTTCAAGGAGTTCATCAACACCAAGCCCTTATTTTATGAAATGTTAAAGGGACTTATCTAAGAAAAAGAAGATGATCAAAAAATATGAACAGTAAAATGACAGTAAACTCACAATCTTTAACAACCACACCTAAAACAAAAAGAAACTAAGCAAACAACTAGAACAGGAACAGAACCACAGAAATGGAGATCACATGGAGGGTTGTCAACAGGGGGTGGGAGGGGGAGAGGGGGGGAAAGAGGTGGAAAAGGTACAGAGAATAAGTAGCACAGATGGTAGGTAGAAAATAGACGGGGAAGGTAAGAATAGTATGGGAAATGTCAAAACCAAGAACTTATATGTATGACACATGGACATGAACTAAAGGGGGGGAATGTGGGTAGGAAAGGGTGTACAGGGTGGAGGGGAATGAAGGGGGGGAAAATGGGACAACTATACAGCATAATCAATAAATATATTTTAAAAAGTTTTTAAATTTATTTTAAGAGAGAGGAGAAGGGAAGAAGAAAGAGAGGGAGAGAAATATCAATGTGAGAGAGAAACATTGATGGGATGCCTCTCGTTCGGACTCCAACTGGAGATCAACCCTGTGACCCAGTTATGTGCCCTGACTGATTATCGAATCAGCGACCTTTGCTTTGTGAGACAATGTCCAACCAACTGAGCCACAACTAATTTTTGAGTTCCCATCCAGGGCACTATGTTATATGGTGATATTAACTATTAGTCCCTGCCTTTTAGGAAGTTATAATCCAGTTAAGGAGGTAAGATGAGCACAGAGGAAAGAACCAAGAGATGAATTATACAACCCTGACTGGTGTGGCTCAACTGGTTGAGTGTCGTCTCACAAAGCAAAGGTTGCTGGTTCCCTGTCAGGACACAAGCGTGGATTTTGGGTTCAGTCCCTGGTTGGGGGAACACATGGGAAGCAACCAATCGATGTTTCTCTCACACAGTAATGTTTCTCTCTCTTTCTTCCTTCTTCCTCCATAAATAAATAAATATATAAATGTTTTTTAAAAAAGAGAGAGATCACCTTGGCTGGTGTGGCTCAGTGGATTGTACATTGACCTGGGAATTGAACGGTCACGGGTTAGATTCCTAGTTCAATTTCCAGTCAAGGCACATGCCTGGGTTGCAGGCCAGTTGGGAGGATATGAGAGACAACCAATCAATGTTTCTCTTCCTTTCTTTCTCCCTGCCTTCCCCTTTCTCTAAAAGTAGATGGGTAAAATCTTTTTTTTAAAAGAGAGAGAGAAAGAGAGAGAGAGAGAGAGAGAGATGATCTATATAGCACAAACTGAGAACAGTGTCAATTTCATAAAAAAAGAGGGACTGGAGCAAGCAAGAAATGCTTCATTAAAGACATGTGATATGAACAGAGTCTTCTGTGATAAGAGAATTAAAACAATAGGGCAGAGGGGAGGTGGGAGGGCATTCCAGGCCAGAGTATTGAAGTTGCATGAGCAAAGGCCCAGAGGTAGAATAAACTGGGTACATGTTGGGAGCAAGGAGGCAAACCAGATGAACAGAGCTAATGATGGATATGGAGAGTAGGGAAAAGATACAAGGGTGGGTGGACCAAAGCCAATGTGTGAGGGGCTCTAAAAGTCAATAGAGAAGTCTGAGCTCAGTATGGAGGATAATGAGGAACCATCAAGGGAGCTGAGCAGGCAGGGAAGAGAGCAGGGTTCAGCCGAAGGTCCTCACTGAATGACCATGAGCAAATTATTTAACCTCCATGATATAGTCTCCTCAGATAAGTTCAGGTGGGAGGAAAAAGCTTAGGTTAGGATAACAATAAAGCAGAAAAGGGAATTTGGCAGGGAAGCCCCAGCAACAGCTTACTGTACATTACACTCAACATTCTGAGGGACCTTTCCCCAACTGTAGCTATCAGCTTGTAATGGTGGTTCATGGGAAAGGCATGTTGATTTTCATTCAGGGGTGTTTTTGTCCAGCAGGCTTCATTGGGCTGCATCTATTCTGCAGCTGAGGAGGGCAAACATTGAAGAAGATAGACTAAGTTCAGTGGAAGGACAGTGTCTATGCAACTTCAAAGGTATGCTTTCGAAGCTGAACTTTAAAACAACTGACAGAACAACTTACACTATCTTTTACTGATTATAAGACTTAATAATTATAAAGCTTAAAAAAAGAGAGAGCTTTGACAAGATGGAGGTGTAGGTAGAAATGATTCATGTCCTTGCACAACCAAAAGAAGGATAACGACCAATTTAAAAACAATAAGCAACCAGAAGTGCAAGATAATCGAACTGCATGGGACTCTGACAACCAAGGAGTTAAAGAAACTGCATGGGTGAGGTGGGGCTGGCTGAACAGGAAACTAAAGATTCAAAGGTAGTTGTAAACTGCTGCAGGGGTTGTGACAGCAGGAGGAACTCCCTGTCTCACAGGAGAGTTCCTTGGAAAGTGGGGCTAGAGTGGAGCAAGTGAGCAGCATTGTTCCCTCTCTGACTCCTCTCCCACAGACAATGCCACAACCCAGCAAAGAGGGTTGCCCCACCCTAGTGAATACCTAAGGCCCCACCCCCATACAGCATAACAGGTGTGACAAGCCAAAGAAATATGGCCCAAATGAAAGAACAGATCAAAACTCCACAAAAAGAGCTAAGCATCAAGGAGATAGACACCCTATCTGATGCCAAGTTCAAAACACTGGTAATCACCCGCCAAGATGGAGACAGGCAGCAACCCTTCGCTTCATGGGGAGGATAACAACCAATCTAAAATCAATAAACAACCAAAAGCACCAGAAAAATCAAACTCAATGAACTCTGACAACCAAAGAATTAAAGAAAAAATCAACCAGAACAACTAGACTAGTAAGGCGGTTGACCGAGTAGGCCAGCTCAGAAAAACTGCTGCAAGGTTGCAGAAGGGGCGGGGCGGGTGGGCACTGGCTGCTGCAAGGTGGCAGGCTATGTGTGTGGGGCCGACTGAAGGCAAAACTGAGACTCAGAGTTGACTGTGGACTACCGCAATTGCCATGGTAGGAGAAACCCCCAGTCTCACAGGAGAATCCATTGGAAAGTGTGCTAGAGATGAGCAGGCAAGCTGCACTGTTCCCTCTCTGGCCCCTCCCCCACAGGCAGCACCACAGTGCAACACAGAGGGTTGCCCTGCAATGGTGAATACCTAAAGGCTCCACCCCCTTACAACTTTCCAGTTGCACCAAGACAAAGAAATATAGCCCAAAAGAAGGAACAGAGCAAAACTGCAGAAAGAGAACTAAGCAATGACAAGATAGCCAACCTATCTAATGGAGAATTTAAAGCCCTCGTAATCAAAATGCTCACAGAACTGATTGAGCTTTGTTGAAAAATGAAAGAACAAAAGAAAGATACCCAAAGTGAAATAAAGTAAAATATTCAGGGAACCAACAATGACGGGAAGAAAACCAGGACTCAAAGCAATGATTTGGAACAAAAGGGAAAAATAAACATCCAACTGGAACAAAAGAAGAAACAAGAATTCAAAAAAGTAAAGAGAGTCTTACAAACCTCTGGGACAACCTGAAATGTTCCAATATCCAAATTACAAGGGTGCCAGAAGAACAACAGCAAGAAATTGAAAACTTATTTGAAAAAAATAATGAAGAAAAACTTCCCCAATCTGGTGAAGGAAACAGACTTCCAGGAAGTCCAGGAAGCTCAGAGAGTCCCAAAGAACTTGGACCCAAAGAGGAACACACCAAGGCACATCATCATTAAGTTACCCAAGATTTAGGATAAGGAGAGAATCTTCAAAGCAACAAGAGAAAAGGAGACAGTTACCTACAAAAGAGTTCCCAGAAGGCTGTCAGCTGATTTCTCCAAAGAAATCTTGCAGGCAAGAAGGGGCTGGAAAGAAGTATTTGAAGTCATGAAAGGCAAGGACCTACATCCAAGATTACTCTATCCAGCAACGCTATCATTTAGAATGGAAGGGCAGATAAAGTGCTTCCAAGACAAGGTCAAGTTAAAGGAGTTCATTGTCACCAGGCCTTTGTTACATGAAATGTTAAAGGGACTTATCTAAGAAACAGAAGAAGATCAAAAACCACAAACAGCAAAATGACAATAAATTCATAACTATCAACAACTGAATCTAAAAACAAAAACAAAAACTAAGCAAACAACTAGAATAGGAACAGAACCCAAGAAATGAACAACACATGGAGAGTTTTCAGTGGGGACAGGGAGGGGAAGAATGGGGGGGAAGGTACAGGGAATAAGAAGCATAATTGGTAGGTAAATAATAGACAGGGAGAGGTTAAGAATAGTACAGGAAACAGAGAAGCTAAAGAACTTATATGTATGACCCATGGACATGAACTAAGGGGGAAGGGATGCTGGAGGGTGGGGGTGTGCAGGGCAGAGGGGGGATAAAGGGGAGAAAGTAATTGGGAAAACTGTAATAGCATAATCAATAAAATTTATGTAAAAATTAAGAAAATAAAAAAATAAAAAACAAACTAAACCAACAACCAGAACAAGAACACAATCACAGATATGGAGATCATTTGGAGGGTTATCAGCTGGGAGGGAGAAGGGGAAGAATAGAGAAAAAGGTACAGGGATTAAGAAGCATAAGTGGTAGGTACAATATAGACAGGGGGAGGTTAAGAATAATATAGGACATGGAGAAGCCAAAGAACTTCTATGGACAACCCATGGACATGAACTAAGGAAGGGACTGCAGGAAGGAAGGGGGGTACCAGGCAGAGGGGAACAAAGGGGGAAAATTGGGACAACTGTTAACAGCACAGTCAATAAACTATATTAAAAAAAAACTTTAAAAAAGAATTTTATGTAGGTACCTTTTGCTGTTGTTGAGTTTCGCCTGTTGCCCCCTGGCAGAAGTGAAGGAAACCTGTTGACGCAGTAACCACTCTTGGTGTAGGCACTGGTAGAACCCTGTTTGGAAAGAAAGACACCATTCTCATTAGGTATCTGGTCTCCTCACCCTCTTGCTTCCACATTCTGCAGGGGTGTCATTAGCCCAAAAATGGCTCTCAAAAAATCTTCGTGAAGAAAAGTGTCTCAATCCTCATGCCAGGCAGAGCTGCTGTGGCAGACAAGGAATATGGAGTGCAAGAATCCCTCTTGCGCCCTGGGTGGGTGGCTCAATTAGTTGGAGCATCACTCCATACACCAAGAGATTGTGGGTTTGATCCCCAGTTAGGGCACACACCTAGAGGTTGCAGGTTCCATATCTGGTTTGGGGTTGTATGGGAGTCAACCGATCAATGTTTCTCTCTCCCCCCATCCCCGCCACCCTCTAAAATCAATAAACATATCCTTGGGTGAGGATTAAAAAAAAAAAAAAAAGGAATCCCTCTTGCTACAGACTGGGGAGGTGGCATAGAAAAAGGAGGCAGCTACTCACTCTGGAGGCCACAATAAGGGCTCTTTTTCCAACAGGGCACACGACCACAATCCATTCCTGCCCCAAATCTGAAGGGATGTCAATTAACCACTCAGAGAGCATCAACTGGCAACACAAAATATGGTGTTAAAAATTAACAGGGGAAAAAAAACAACAAGGGTGTGCTGTTACACTATTTACAATGATAAAGAATCCATATCCTACATCTACAATGAAAATACAAGTCAATGAATGAGGGTAGAAAAGACGGACAGTGCAACTTCCACCCCACTTACTCTTAGCAGTCAACTCTTCTTCTGCTCAACTGATAGGATGGAGGCCACTCATTGTGAACTTGAGCTTCTCTCCTCACCTTCATTACTGAGTTCATACCCATTCTTACTACCTCACCCTCTGTATCCAGGTGATGGAAGCCTCTTTTCTTACTTTGTCCACCCACCTACCATTACCATAATTATCCTGTAAAGACTATACCTCAAAGATGAATAAGGTCCTTCTTCTTGAAATGCTTTTAAACTAGATCCTTATTTTCCAAACTATAATGACACAAATACTATATTAAAGGGTGTTAGGAAATCAGCCTCAAAAAAGGGGTGAGGGGAGGCTGTGGTGAAATGAATTTGAAAAGATTAACTTCCACTCATCACTTATATTCCCTCCCATCTACATAAACTTAGGCCTATCAATTAACCCCACTGAATCTTTCATCTCTTCTTCCCCTCAGCCCACAAAATACTTAACCCCTATGCTTTAAAACCAAAACAAAAATGAAAACCTTTTATCACTGTGCATTTGTTAAGCTACTCTACTTTCTCCTTTTTTTCAAACTACTGTTGCTATGTTCTTGCCCGCTGCCACTCTCAGTCTAAAACTGCTCCCCCACAAGCCCTGCTAAAGGCCATAAGTAATCTCTTTGAATCAAGTACCTCTTCCCTCACCTCCTTATCCTTCTGCTTCCACTCCCCCTGTGATGCCACCAGGCACATCCTCCTCCTTGACACATGTTCCCTTGTCCTGGTGACATACTTCTATTGTTTTTCCTCCAAATATTCCTCCATACGCTCCCTCAAACATGTAGATAATCTTCAGGAGGCTATTTTAGGCCCTGCTTTGCTTTTCTCTTAGATACCGCCCCCTTGTGGGTGGATCTCATCATCTACTATATCTTCACTCTTCATTCTAAGAGGATGCTTCCCAATTGCTTTCTTTTTCACATCCAGATTTCCTTCCTTTTACCTCCACATGTATATTTCAAGCTGGCCATTTGATACCTCTTTCTCTGTTTGTCTTCTCTCTAGCTTAGACTCAGCATATTCAAAACTAAATTCACTGCCTTCTGTTGACCAAATACTTCCTAACCCTGAAACACCCACCCTTCTCCTGCACTCTGTAGCCCTGTTCACTGCAGCACCACTATCTCTGCTACTAAATCTTAAACCCAAGGCATAAAACACTCCCTTAAAGAAGAGTGGTAAATACAACACTAAAAGCATAAGTGACAAAAAATAGATCAATTAGACTACACAAAATTTAAAACATCTGTGCTGCCAACAATACCATCAAGAAAGCGAGCCCTTCCTGGCTGGCGTAGCTCAGTGGATTGAGCGCGGGCTGCGAACCAAAGTGTTGCAGGTTCGATTCCCAGTCAGGGCACATGCCTGGGTTGCAGGCCACAGCCCCCAGCAACCGCACATTGATGTTTCTCTCTCTGTCCCTCCCTTCCCTCTCTAAAAATAAATAAATAAAATCTTTAAAAAAAAAAAAAAAAAGAAAGCGAGCCCTTGCTGGTGTAGCTCAGTGGATTAAGCGTGGGCTGTGAACCAAAGGGCTGTCGTTTGATTCCCAATCAGAACACATGCTTGGGTTGCAGGCTAGGTCCTCAGTAGGGGGCACAAAACAGGCAACCACACATTGAAGTTTCTCTTCCTCTCTTTCTCCCTCTCTTCCCTTCGGTCTAAAAAATAAAATAAAATCTCTAAAAAAAATAAAAATGGGCAAAGGATACACATTTTTCCAAAAAAGGTATAGAAGTGGCTAATAAGCACATGAAAAGATGCTGTCTTTAGTTATCAGGGAAATGCAAATCAAAATCATGAGATACCACTTCACATCCACTAGGATGGCTATACTTAAAAGAACAGACAAAAGTATTGACAAAATATGTGGAAAAACTGGAATTCTCATATACTACTGGTGAGAATATAAAATGGTGCAATCATTTTGGAAAACAGTCTGGCCGTCTTCAAAAGATTAAGCATAGTTATCATATGTCTGAGTAATTCTACTCCCAGGTATATACTCAAAAGAAATGAAAACATGACCACACAAAAACTTGTAAAGGAATGTTCATAGCAAGCCATAATAGACAAAAGGTGGAAACAACTCAAATGGCCACCAACTGATGACTGAATAAACAAAATGTGATTACAAAAAGTGAACGAACACATGCTATAACACAGATGAACTATGAAAAACTTATGCTGGAATTCTGGACAAGATGGAGGCGTAGGTAGAAGCACTTTGCTTCCTCAAACAACCAAAAGAAGGATAACAACCAATTTAAAAACAAAAGCAACCAGAACTGCTAGAACATCAAACTGTATCGAATTCTGATAACCAAGGAGCTAAAGAAGCCCTCATCCAGACTGGTAGGAGGGGTGGAGATGGGTAGTGGGACAGAGAGGACACATAACAAGACAGTGGACCACGCTAGTAAGGCATGGGCTGGCTAACTGAGCTATTCCACATTTGTGCACAGGTAAGCCAAGAGGAATGAATGGGGGTTGAGGCAGCCTCTGAAACCCAGGGCTTCAGTGCAGGAAACTAAAAACTTGAAACCTCTGGCTGTAAAAAATCTGTGGGGGTTGCAGTGGTGGGAGGAACTCCTAGCCTCAAAGAAGAGTTCGTTGGAGAGGCCCACAGGGTCCTAGAATGCACTTAAACCCACGCACCTGCAAATCAGCACCTGAAAGGGCACAATCCATATGTGGGAATCGAGGGAAGTAATGGAAAGTGGGGTGAGAGCTAAGCAACTGGCATTGCTCTCCCTTTGACCCCTCCCCACACAGAGCGCCACAAGGCATCAACGTGGGTTGCCCTGCCCTGGCAGAATACCCAAGGCTCCACTCCTTACAACATACCAGGCATGTGGAAACAAAGAAATATGGCCCAAATGAATGAACAGATCAAAACTCCAGAAAAAAGAACTACGTGAGGAAGAGTCAACCTATCACATGCAGAACTCAAAACACTGGTAATCAGGATGCTCACAGAAATGGTTGAGTATGGTCGCTAAATGAAGGCTATACAAAGCAAAATAAAGGAAAACATACAGGGAACCAACAGTGGAGGGAAGGAAACTGGGACTCAAATCAATGATTTACACCAGAAGGAAGAAATAAACACCCAACTGGAACAAAAGAAGAAACAAGAATTCATAATAATGAGGAGAGGCTTAGGAACCTCTGGGACAACTTTAAAAGTTCCAACATCTAAATCATAGGAGTCATGCCAGAAGGAGAAGAGGAACAGCAAGAATTGGAAAACTTATTTGAACAAATAATGAAGGAAAACTTCCCCAATCTGGTGAAGGAAATAGACTTCCGGGAAGTCCAGGAAGATCAGAGTCCCAAAGAACTTGGACCCAAGGAAGCACACACCAAGGCACATCATAATTACATTAGCCAAGATGAAAGATAAGGAGAGAATCTTCAAAGCAGCAAGAGAAAAGGAGACAGTTACCTACAAAGGAGTTCCCAGAAGGCTATCAGCTGATTTCTCAAAAGAAACCTTGCAGGCAAGAAGGGGCTGGAAAGAAGTATTTGAAGTCATGAAAGGCAAGGACCTACGTCCAAGATTTCTATGTCCAGCAAAGCTTTCATTTAGAGTAGAAAGGCAGATAAAGTGCTTTCCAAATAAGGTCAAGTTAAAGGAGTTCATCATCACCACGCCCTTATTATATGAAATGTTAAAAAGACTTATCTAAGAAAAAGAGGATGATTAAAAATATGAACAGTAAAATGACAACAACCTCACAACTATCAACAACTGAACCTAAAAAAACAAAACAAAAACTGAACAAATGACTAGAATAGAAACAGAATCACAGAAATGGAGATCACACATGGAGGGTTATCAGTGGGGAGGGGAACGGGAAGAATGGGGGAAAGATACCCCTGTACCTTTACAGTTGTTGATAGCTGTGAGTTTGTTGTCATTTTACATAAGAAGCATAAATGGTACGTACAAAATAGACAGGGGGAGGTTAAGAATAGTATGGGAAATGGAGAAGCCAAAGAACTTACATGTATGACCCATGAACATAAACCATGGAGGGGGGTTTCTGGAGAGTCGGGGCAGGGTGCAGGGAGGAAGGGGATAAAAGGGAGAGAAAAATTGGAACAACTGTAATAACATAATCAATAAAATATACTTTAAGTAATTTTTAAAAAGAAAGATAAAAGAAAAAACTTATGCTGAGTGAAAGAAGCCAGACACAAAAAGATGCACCTTATATGATTCCAATCACATAAAATGTACAGAATAGGTAAATCCATACAAACAGAAGGGAGATTAGTGATTGCTAGGAGCTGGGGGAAAGGAGGAATGGAGATGGACTGCTAATGGGTATGAGGTTTCTTCTGGGATGGTGAAAATGGTCCGGAATTAGTGGTGGTGACTGCACAGCCCTATGAAATACTAAAAAACACTGCATGGTACACTGTAAGTGTGTGAATTGTATGGTAGGTGAATTATATCTCAATGTGGCTGTTAAAAAAATAGTAGTAGCAACTAACACTCAGGGAGCATTTATGTTACACTATCTCATTTAATCCTTCTAATAATCCTGTGAGTCAAGTACCATTTTACAGATAAGAAACCCAAGAGACTTAGAGTGGTTAAATAACTTGCTCGAGGTCAACGAAGAACATAGCTTTGAGGTCAGTTCAGAGTTTAAACCCTTAATCGCTTCTCATAGTGCCTCTTCAACCCACTGCTAAATTCTGTCCATTCTTCCTGGCAACATTTTGACATTTCCTATACCCATGACTTCATTTCCCTCCCACTTTCTCTGCCCATCATCAGACCATTTTAGAAAACCTAAGCTCCCTATTGCTCTCCAGACCCTTCTGTACATTGATGTGGGTGTCATCACATGAAGTCTCAACTCTGCCCTGGCTCAAAAGTTCTCAGTGGTTCCCCACAATCTAAAACACAGCTGAAATTCTTGCATGTATTTCTATACCATCTTCCCCCCACCCTATGCTGTCCCATTCTCACTGCCCGTGAACATACCATATACTCCTCTCCCACCTCTGGGCTCTTACTCAGAATGTTCCTACTACTTGGAATGCCCTGCACTTCTGCCTATCAATGTCCTACCCATGCTTCAAAGCTGACCCCTTGTTTATTAACTTTTTCCTGATTTCACAATACTGCTTTCTTGCCTATTGGAAGTTAACCTCGCTTTCTTACAGTGAAAACCATAACCAACAATTATTCCAGGAGTACAGGGATATTTCTGACCCATGTCTACCTCCCCCACAGCATAGCCTAGCTTAACACAGGGCCTTCAGCAATGTTTGCTGAACGGAACTAAATTATGCTGTCATAGAGGATATTATGTGTTCTGTATTTGGAGCAGAGATGATGGGAGTAATGTACTCAGGAACCATATTCTGAAGGCAGAGGAGGATTCTCAGGTGACAAGACACTTAGGTTATGGAAAGAAGTATACAATAGCAGGGTAGACCCCTGCCCCTACTAGGTCCCCACCCTGCCTTCTGGGTTACCTACACTGCCTAGAGCACTGGACAATCTCCCTGCCTGCTTCCCCTATGGCACCAGAAGCCACACTGGTTTCCTCTCTTGAACCAACAGGGCACTCAGTTCTAAGTTTGTGACAGTGATCTGTTATTTCATGGTCTCAGTCCCACAGGCCAACTGGATGGCCCGGGGTGGCTGCTCAGGCTCCTTATATTCAGAGGCAGCTCTACTTCCCATCTTACACCACGTGAATGTGAAGTTCCAAGGCTGACATCTTAGTCCATTGCTTGGAAAAGGCTAGGTGTGCTGGACTGGGCAGGTCCAATCCAGGATGGCTAGGAATGACTACCAAAGAAATGCATTGCATGAAACCCATTAGTCAATCAGGAGCAAGCCTGGGTTAATGGTTCCCAAACCTGACTATTCAGTTTTCATCAGTGATCCCTGGTCAGCACATGGCACTGTAAACCATCTCTTCTCTTCATCTGTAAACTTTCTAAACATCAGCATTTTCTTTGCAGGTCTCATTCCTTTTTCCTGCCTCCTCCTGTCTTTATAGCAACATTTATTGCAGTGGGGTTTGACTGCATAGTAAAGGGAGTGGGAATAGCTGGGCCTAATCTTCTCTGGAATACTCACTTGATTAGCATAGTGCTTTGGTAACTTCTTGGCAGTGTCAATGTCCATTTCTTCATCATCTTTCTTATCTTCTTCTTCCTCACTCTCTATCCCAGTCCAGTCATCTTCAGCCAGTCTTCTGGCGTGGTTCACATAATCCAACCGCTTGCTGGAGAAAGAAAAGGCATACATGCCCTGGCTAATGTGGCTCAGTGGACTGAGTGCTGGCCTGTGAACCGAAGGTTTGGCAGTTCAATTCCCAGTCACAACACATGCCTGGGATGTGGGCCAGGTCCCCAGCTGGGGGCCCTGCAAGAAGCAACTGATATATGTTTCTCTCACACATCATACTTCTCTCCCTCGCCTTCTTCCTCCCTTCCCCTCTCTAAATACAAATTCTTTTTTTTTTTTTAAGAAAAGGTATACAGACAGATCTTTATGTCTTATAGAAAGACACCTTACAATGTGACAGATTGATTAAATTCAAAGGCTCCAAATTCAGGAGAAATTTGGGGATTCTGATGGGAATAAGAGATGACAGAATTTCCTCTGTAAAGCTAAACCAGTGACCGCCTCCTTGCAGGTCCTAAATAGGACACCCACTCTGAACACACACAACCTTCCTCAGAGTTTCCTTCAAATGAGCAAAGTGAAATATTTAAAGGAACTTTCAAGGCTCACTAGCTGGAAAGACTGATCTCACTCCTACCTCCAACCCAGGTGACAGCTGACACTTCTCTGTCTGGCTAGATATCTAGTCCAAAGGCTCCCAGGGACTGAAGAGAGGACTTACTAAGATGCAGTCAGGATGTTAAAAAAGGGCAGCTTCTGGGGCTTTTCACTTTATACAGTTTTCTGAGAAGAAGCCAAGCCTTTCTCCAGCTCCTGTCTAACTTTCGAAAAAAGCCACTTAGTTTACAATTTAATGTCTTTTACTTATTTCTTTCCTTTTATTGTTATCTTCCTCTTTTTAAAATACTACATATTGGCTCTGTCTGGTGTGGCTCAGTTGGTTGAGCACCATTCCACAAAGAAAAAGATCGCCAGTTTGATTCCCGCTCAGAACACATGTCTGGGTTGCAGGCACGTGCAGAAGGCAACTGATGGATGTTCCTCTCTCACATCAATGTTTCTCTCCCCCTCTTTCTCTCTACCTTCCCCTCTCTCTAAATATATAAATAAAATCTTAAAAAACAAACAAACTACACATTGTAGAAAATTTAGGAAGAGAGAAGGAAGAAAAACAACCTGTGGAAACTAACTGTTTCAAAGTGATTTATAGATACCACATAACCTCCTAAGCTTGGTTTCTTCAATGCTAAAGCCAAGAGATCAAGCATTGAGAGAATGAGACCAGCTCAGCTGGTTTCTTCTCACACACGTGTTCATGCACACAAAGGTGCACACCAGAGAGCATATGCAAGCACAATGGTCTTTTGTTTCAACAATAAGGGAGAGCTGATTTACTTGTACATGTGCAAAAGGGTGCATTTCTGTGGTTATTTCCTAAGCATTGTCTTAAGCGCTACAGAAGGAAACTACCCAGATACTTGTTTGTAGCAGACTGCTTAGGTTGAACTGTCCATTCAATGGAATACCTGGCACTTTATGAACTGATACAGAACCTCTGCAAAATACCACTGTTAACTAAATGTGCAGGACAGTGTACCATACACTCTACTTCTGTTTAAAAAAAAAAAGGTCACCACACACTTGTTCATATAGCAGAGAATATCTTTGCAAGGATACACAAGAAACTAATAAAATGGAAGAAGAACTGGATGGCTCGGGACAGAATTAGGAGGAAGATATTTCACCAATTATTTTGCAACAGGTAAAATATTCACTAAATGTATTCATAGTTCAATATTCAAAACATATAAATTATAATTTTTGTTAAAAGGTGTGGTGGGGATGATCTGGGAGTGTAATTTCCAAGTAGCCCAAAGGCCATGGGAACCACTTCTGCTAAATACACCCAGTGATGCAGCACTGGGCAAACACAGCTCTTAATAGCTGCTCTTGATTTTCAATTCCTTATGGTTACCCAGAAGAGGCCCATGTTGCTCTGAGAATAGAAGAACAGGCCCTACATTCAGAGCAGACCAGTCTCAAACATTCCTATCCTGTTCTCTTTCCCTGTGTGCTCATCCTGACACTGAGAATTGCATGTATGGAAGACATGTCCTCAGGTCCCCTGTGGAATTATTTGTCTGGAACTCCCAAGAGCTCCACAAAAACATTTGGACTGCAGGCAGACAGGAAGACAACACCAATGGCAGGATTCAGAATGTGGGAGAAGCCACACAGGGACTGTGGGGAGTGGAAGTCTGGGTGTGACTTTCACAAGTCCATAAATTACAAAGCTCAGTACTGCTGCCAGGGGGAAAAAAAAGAAAAATTTTACCAAATAACTGAACTTTACTTTTAAACTTCCTCCTCTTTTCCTAACCTCTGGGTGTAAAGGACATCTACCTCTGCCAGGATTTACTGCTCCCAACCTTGTGGACAAGATGATAAACTTACAAAGGGTCTACTTTGAAGGTGGTTCTGTAGAAGCAAGCCTAGAACCTCCTGAACAGTTCATAATGCCCAGGCTAGAGAAAAAAGCCAGGGAGTTAAAGCATCCCTTACAGTTTCTGCAGTTCCAGTAACCGGCGGCGCCGCTCACTCTGCTCCAAGGTACTGTACTTGGACTTGTACTGGGACAGGCGGGGGTGTGGGGCAGCTGTGCTATTCAGATCTTGAGACACAGAAAAGCTACTAGCCAGGGCTTGACTCAGCTCTTCCATTTTCCCTACAAGGGAAAACATAAAAAAATGGTTCATTCATTTCATATTACCTCCTATGTACAGGTAGTTATAATATGACATCATGGCTACATTCCTAAAAAACCTCACTTAATCCAAAATCCTAACTCTTCCCATGGGAAAATGAAGTTAAAGGCTAAAAAGAGTTACAGCTGAGCAATTACATTATTTCTTGCAGATATTTCAATAATGCTCCTTCTGATAGTTCTAAGTGTATAAACTTAACCATTAGTCACTAAGCAAACTCACCTGTGACTGAATCTAACTTTTGCTCTTTGTCATCTATCACCATGTCATTAATTCCTTCTTACCATCATTGTTAACCAATGATGTGATCAAGTACTTAATTTTTTCCTTAATAGTTCTAGTTAGTCATTACTTATTAACTAATATAACTTTCTGATGCAAATTTTATTCAACTGGTTGTTTAACTCTCTAATAAATTACAATTCATATTAAGAAGATTTAGCTCCAGGAAAAATACTGGTTCTGGGCTCCCTGGAGGAAGACAAATGAAACCAAAAACCCAAACCTGGCCGTTACTTTCCCGTTTTGTACTTTGTTTGTTTGGGAAGGGCAGAAGAAAGGTTTCAGGACTACCTATGTAGAATGATACATAGAATGATACACTGGAAGAATAATAGCTAAAGAAACAAAAACAATGATAGTTAGAATGTGGAAGGCTATCTACTGGCTAATACCATGTGCTTTAGAAACATGAAGGACAGGCACTGGCTGGTATGGTTCAGTTGGTTGGAGCATCTTCCAGTAAACCAGAAGGTTGAGGGTTGGACTCCCAGTCAGGGCACATGCCTGGCTTGCAGGTTCAGTCCCAGGTTGGGGCGCAGAGGAGAGGCAATCAATTGATACTGCTCTCTCTGGTTCTCTTCCTCCCTTCCCTTCTCTCTAAAATCAATAACCATGTCCTCCAGTGAGGATAAATAAAGTGAAGGACTGATGTACCTTTGGGAGAACAAAGAGCAGAGGTCATATGGGAGAGAGACTACCCAGGTAGATCCTAAAGAATGAAACTGGAGAGAAAGAGGTGAATTCACACTTCAATCACTCTCCTGTAATTAAAGGTATAAGGTGGCAAATTTAGCCTAACAGTTAAAGGTGTGCCTCAGAAGGTAAGAAAATAGAAACATTTGAGAGAAGTCTGATTCACACAGCTGGACTGGCTTAGCCCTTCAGTTCTAGTGCTAGTTCAGTTCTAGTGGGCATTATAGTGCTTAAAGTCCACCTCAGGCCAGGTTCCACTGCTTGGAGCACTACAACTAACAGGTCCATTCCAGAGCCTCTATAGTTAAAAGTACAACTTCATGGACCTCTACTTGGCAACGACTTACTTTCCCTTGTGCACTTGAAATCAGATATTTTTTCTTAATTTTCATCATTACATTTTTTTATTTGAAAGGAGCTTATTAAAAATTGTGGTTAATGGAACACTACTCAGCTGTAAAAAAGAAGGAAACCTTACCATTTGGGATAGCATGGATGGACCTGGAAAACATTATGCTAAGTGGAATAAGCCAATCAGAGAAACACAAGTACCATATGATTTCACTCATATGTGGAATCTAATGAACAAAATAAACTGATGAACAAAATAAAGACAGACTATTAAAGAGCAGGCTGAAAGCTGAGGGATGGGGAGGTTCTGGTTGAGGGGGTAGATGGACTGAGCAAAAAAGAAGAAAAAAGAGAAAAAAACTCATAGACACTGACAACAGTGTCGTGATTGCAAAGGAGTGGAGTAGGGTATGGGGAGAGATAAATGGTGATGAAACTTGACTTGGGGTGGTAAAGACACAATACAGTGTATAGATGATTTACTGTGGAATTGTGCACCTGAAACCTGCGTAATTTTGTTAACAGCGTCACCCCAATAAAGTCAATAAAAAGGGAAAGAAAAGGAAAGAGCTTAAAAAAATAGTGGTTAGAAAGTCATGACATAAAATTTACCATTTTACTGTACCAAACCAAAACAAAAAAATTACCATTTTAATCATGTTTAAGTATACAGTTCAGTAGTGTTAAGTACATTCACACTTTAGAGCAATCGATTTCCAGAACTCTTTTCATCTAGCAAAACATAGCCCATTGAAATGAACATATTACCTCTGTTGATTTGAGGTTTAACACACTTGTAATGCAACCAGGGTGGTCATTTGTGTTTGAGGCTAGGTGATGAGTAGCTGGGAACCATAATGGTGTGCTATTTTCTGTATTTTTCTCTACTTCTGTATAAGTCTGAACACTTCCATAATAAAAGCTGTGGGTTCCTGCTGTACCCAGAACCACAAAAATCCTTAATCGTAGCTTTGGATACTGGGAAGGCTCCCTGTACTATTCTTGGCTGGCTCCTGCTTTTTGAACCATTCCTCTTGAAGGGTTCTCACCTTAGCTGGGGTGATCCCATCCTCCAGCTGCGTCTGCCCCCTAAATAACTCCCAAATTTCCGACTCATCCAGGCCCCTCCCCCGCGCTCCAGCGCCCCGCGCGACACCAGCGTCCCCCTACTCTTCTGCCGAGGTCCCAGCCGCGCATCTCCAGCCCGGGTCGAGGCCTGCAGGGCATCTCTCACCGAGCGTCTGTCCACTCCAACTTCTGTCCCCGCCACTGCCTTTCCCTCGGGATGGGGCTGTTCTGGCCTTGCGGGATTCCCCCTTTCCCCCGCCCCACCGCCCGGACCAGAAAAGCGGAAGCGCGCCGGGGCTTGGCAGGCCTCGCCTCTGAAGGGGAGACCTCGGGTGGCTAGGGGTGTAGAGCCGGCCGCAGCAAGTCAGAGCCTGAACCGAGGGGCAGATCGAGCTGATGGGGCCCAGGCTCGAACCAGAGCTCACCCGGCCGAGGTGACAGTTCCACGCGCCCAGTTGCCGCCGCCGCTGCGGCCAATCCGTCGCCCGAAAAAGACGTCCCGCCCCTCGACAGCCAAGGGCCGGCCCACAAGCCCCAACTGCAGAGTTTCCGGCCCTTCCGCCGCCTTGCGTTTTCTACAATTTCGCAACTTCCGGCCCCGGGGGCTGAAGGTGTCGTGTCGTTGGCTCCCAGCCCTTTGGGTGTGGTGCCCGGGCCTCCCCGCTTCCTTGTCCGGGAGCTCAAGCTCCTGGGCTCCTCGTGCCTACGGCCGGAGCCCCGACCTGGTCCCGGGAGTTCTGAGCCCTCCAGCTGTGGGTCCTGCCCCAGACCCGCTCAGGGTGCACTGCCCTCCGACAACCTGCCCCTCTCCCTGCCCGGTCCGTGACTGTCTCCCCACACCCCTCACACCCGCTCCGGGTTCGCCGGTGCAACCCTGGAACCGGACCTGAAGACCTGTCTTGTTTGGTTTGGGAGCCTATTTCCTATCAGATGGGGGGCTGGGCAAAGGCAGGGATGGCTGATTCCTGCTTAAGTGGTGAGCATTCAGTACAAAGCTAGGGGAAGGCGCCCAGATACAAGGCGAGCTAATCAAACTACAGTGCGGCCTCTAAAAGAGATGACTAATGAGATGCAAAATACAAATAGGAGTACCATTTATTGAATGCTTACATTTACCAGACACTGCCTCACGTGTATTATTTCACTTAATCTACAAGCCCAGAGAGATTAAGTAACTCCTAAGTCACACCAACTTTTGAGCAAAATATTTGAATTTGCTGAATATTTGACCTAGAAATTGGATATTACTGTCTGTCCTACAGAAAGAAAATATACAAAGTTGGCACATTTTGAGTCCAAAGTGTGGACAAAAAAGGGGGGTTGTATGGAAAGTAACTTTTTCAGGGGTGATCTGATCATATATTGCTAACTGGGCAGGGCATGGTGGGTAGTCATGCCGCAGGCCTATGAATTCTTATAGCTCTGTCTGGTCCATTGTTCTGGAGCATCTAGGTTAACACACATTTGAAATGATAGAAGTAATATACCTTGAAAAGGATATTAATTCTTAAGAGAGCACATAAAATCTTGTTAACTATCCTGTAATTGATCCCAGCCTTGCTTTCTCCAATCCTCCTTACATGCCCTCCTTAATTTCAAATGCATAAAAGAAGATGCAAAACTGTTATTCTCAGGAGCATTTGAGAACTTGATCCCTGCATATCTGGTCAGTTTGGCTCAAATAAACTCTCACAAAAGTTGTCTACAGCCATGGCTGGTGTGGCTCAGTGAATTGAGTGCCCGCCCATGAACAGAAAGATTGCTGGTTTGATTCCCAGGCACGTCACATGCCTGGGTTGCAGGCCAGGTCCCCAGCTGGGGGCCTGCGAGAGGCAACCTATCAAAGTATCTATCACACGTTTATATTTCTCCCTTTCTTTGTCTCTCCCTTCTCTAAAATAATAAATAAGTAAAATCTTTAAAAAATGTTTCTGCCTTTACAAAAAGAAAACAAAAAAGTTAAAGGGAAAAAGCAAACAAAACAAAACAAAACCCCAATAAATAAATAAATAAGTTAAAAATAAAATAAATGTTGTGAGGATGTGCAGAAATTGGAACCCTCACACACTGTTGGTGGGAATATAAAATGGTGCAGCCACTATGGAAACAAATAGTGGCTCCTCAAAAAATTGAACATAAAATTATCATGTGATCTAGTAATTACCACTTCTGAGTATACATTTGTGTATGAAAAGGGATTCTATAATAAAACTGACAAGTCCAGTCATGGAACATAACCTCACAGAGTAATCTGATCATCAATTCCTAATTGGACAGGTCAGTGTCAGTAGTCACATTTTTTATCTCATCCTTGGGAGTGTTTGAGATCTTGCTTCCCAGTAATTGTCATCAGTTTGGCCCAAATAAACTTTTGTAAAAATTCTCTACAGGTTTGGAGATTTCTTATGTCAACATAGTAAATCCTCACTTAACTTATACAATAGGTTAAGAACAATGCAGGGATTAGGGACACTGAACCCCACCCCACCCCATTCCCCCTTCCTGTAAGTCTAATATAACTTAAATGAGCCCTCCAAATTCAAGGATTCCAAACTGAGAATCAAAAATATTTTTTTAATCCATAGCAGGTTGAATCCTGGATGTAAAACCCAAGAATACAGATGGCTAAGTGTATATTTATTGAAAAAAAATTTCCCCATATAAGTGGACTCCTTAGCAGCAAAATGGCACCACAATGTTACCAGCAATTGGACCTCTCAGATCAGCAATGTTGGTATTTGAGTTCTGGCTATGCAAGAATTCAGAGCCAAGACTCAAATACAAGCAAAAGTTTATTTAGAAAGTCACAGAGGCAGAAGTGAGGCCTGGAAGAAGTAAACCAGCTGGGCTGCATGGGCTCAGGAAACAAATTACAGAGGCAAAAGAAGGGCCCTTGGAACTTAGGAAAAAGAAAGGCAAAGAAAATGCACCATGGGGAAGGAAAGAGGGAGAAAGGCAAGAGCCTGAGAAAGTTGAGAGAGTTGAGAGAGAGAAAAAGAGAGAGTCCCCCCACCCTCCCTGGGGAAGAATAGGGTGAGGAAAGGCACTTCTTGAGGGTTTTATCCACTCTCTAAAGGTGGGGATCTTAGGGAATGTCCCAGGGAAGAATCTCAATGAAATATTCATCAGCTTTTCCAGGTGTGTCCTTTCAGGGTCATGGTCTCTGCTAAGTGGTTGGTGCCAGGGCAGGGGGGTGATTAATCAATGCAGCTAGTCCTGATGTCAGCCATGGTGTCTGGTTTTGCAGCTTTTATGAGCCTGGAGCTGAAATACAACTGAGGCCTAAATGTCATCTTTAGTTGCACCAAAACTGTGTCTCTGTGGTCAACTGACCCAGACTTGAGGCTTTGATCCTAAGAGTATTTGACATGGGTCATAACCTCATTGTCTCGAGGGTTTAATGCTTAAGGACAAGGGTTTCTATGGGAGTCTTATGAGGATACCATATTTTGCCATGTATGATGCACACTTTTTTGCCCAAATTTTTGAGGAAAAAACAAGGATGTGTATTATACTTGGATATAATGGTTACATACCCTGGATATAATAATGGGATCTAATAATTTCATGTATAATGCACATAAAAACATGGGTGCACATCATAGATGGGAGTGCATTATACATGGCAAAATACATATTTTCTAGCCCTCTAGTTCCTCCTCTAAGGGAGTCTACCACATCACTAGTGACATGCTAGGAAAGAAATGGTCAGGGGAGAGTCCAAACCATATGACCAATGACATGGTCTAAACTGCATTTCCAGTGATACGCTAGGGGAAGAAGGATAGCCCCAGGGGTGAAGTCCTTGTTTTCAGTTTTGCCCATTGTGAGGTATGCAGGGCTTTCCTCACTGGTGACTTTCTATACCTGGCCTATCATGCTTGCTTTGCTCATGCCTGTCTTAACTGTCTACTACAGACCCTTACAGTTCAAACCCGTATCATTCAAGGGTCAATTGCATAAGAAACTTAAGTTTACCATAGGTTAACTGACATAAGAGTCACAACAAAATGAGAATGAATGACAGAAAGGAAGCCTGAATGTACCCAAAAGAATTAAAAGCAGGGACTCAGATATTTGTATGTACATGTTCATAGCAGCATTATTCAAAACAGCTAAAAAGCAAAAGCAATGCCCAGAGACAGATAAGTAGATTTTTAAAAAGGTGGTATATACTGTTTAAAAACAAAATTCACCATCCCTGGATGAGTAGCTTAGTTGGTTAGGGCATCATCCTAATACCCCAAAGTTGTGGATTCAATTCCCAGTCAGGGCACATATAAGAACCAACCAATGAATGCATATATAAATGGAACAACAAATCATTTCTCTGTCTCTCTCTCCCATTCTCTCTAAAATATAAATAAAAATTGAAAAAACATTATCTGAATAAATTTGGAAATCTAATTGGCTTTATTAAGTGATGAATGGATTGTGGCAACTGGAAGAGCACTCCAAGTGCAGTTGTATAAATGGAAGGTTTTTATCAACAGAAAGAGAGAGCGCTCCTTTTATTTCAAATCTTCTTACCCATAATTCCATGGGCTCTGGTGGCATTCAGTTTCTCAGCCAATCTGGTCCTGGGCTGTTTACCATTGCCTTGGGCAACCTCCTCCTACAGCCCCTCCCTACCTTCCCAGTGATCTGATCAGCTCTCTCTGTATCACTCTTACACCACATCCATGTATTGGAGCTGAGCTGAATTGCAGCCATCCAGCTTTGAATTGTAGGAAACTCATCTGACAGAATTGCTTGATGTGTGACTCACCCCCACACATACATTTGGTGCCCAGAGTGTCATTACACACATATATTCTGGTGCCCAAAGTGAAGTATTCTGAGAGTAGTGTGTGGTAGAGTAAAGAAGAGAAACAGATTTTTTCTTTAAGTAACCACTGCAGTCAAGTTCATACAGAAGTAGAAGCATTGGAGTGGGGAAGGGGGATGGAGAAGTAAGAATGGGAGTGAGTGTTTAATGGGGACAGTGCTTCAGTTGGGAGGATGAAAAAGTTCTGGCGATTGATGGTGCCAATGATGCACAAGAATGTAAATGTATATAATGCCAGTGAACTGTACACTTAAAAATGGTTAAGATGGTAAATTTCATGTTACAGGCATTTTACCTCAAAAGAAAAAAAGAGAAAAAGAAGAACTGGTAAGTGCTTGAAGTACTTTTTTTATTGACTACTGTAAAAATAAAAATAATATTACCTTGAACATCCCTTCTTGTTTGATTAGTGCTTACTCACTTTCCTATTTTCATGAAATGGCCTGGCTAATTTGTCTTCAAGAAGTTCCTTGAGGGGAAAAATAAGAAGAAAAGAAAAAAAATAAAGAAGTGAGGGGAACAAAAAAAAGTTCTTTGGAGACATCCTAACTTCAAAAGCTTCCAGTTAAAACCTGTAGAATGTATCATTCACCTCAGGCAAATGCTACTAGGTGTTAATTATGGGGAAACATGTTAACCCACCTGCTATAACTTCAGATACTTTATTCTGTAAATTCTGTAATTTCACTATTATAGAACACCGTAAACTTATGATTAAATCCGAAGGCATCAAGGCAATTTGTCTTGCCTTCACTCTCAGATATGACTGGTTAACATCCTTAAAGCTTTTCTTTGGGCAGTTTACTTTTAAACAAAACTTAAGTAAAAAGAAAAGCAATATGATTTAAAGAAAATTACTGAGAAAATAATTGTTATGAGAGTTTAGCCAACTGCAAAATTAGGGCATACAGCCCATCCACACAAGACTGTCCTCATTTTTAAAAAAAATTTAAGACTGTCCCCATTTTGGACAACACAAGTTCAGGGGGTTCCCCAAACTCTCAGATTTGGAGATTCATTAGAAAGACTCCCCAAACTCACTAAAAGCTGCTATGCTCATAGTTGAGAAACAGAAGGGATACAAATCAGGCCAAGGGAAGAAGCACATAGTGCAGAGCTCCCATTGTGCTCTCTCCATATAGTTAGGACAGCATACCTCTCTCAGCTTCAGTGTGTGACAGTATTTGTGGAGTACTGCCACCAAAAGAGGCTCACTGGGCCATGGTATCCAGAGTCTTTATTAAGGTTCCATCATGCAGAAACAGTTAACTGCCCATGAGGCTGATCTCAATTTCCAGCCTGTCAAGAAGTCCAGCTACAGGACCCAAAGCTCCCACCCTACGTCACATTGTTGGTGTGGCTCAGAGCTCCCACCATTGCTGCTATTTGACTGGTCCCAGGACACCAGGCAAACAGAGGCATTCCTATCAGACATGACATTCTGTAGTAGACTGTTCCATGATGCGACTGCTGCCTTGAGGCAGAATAGTAAGAAGCTAGGAAAATTCCTTGGCAAGTGGAATGAGGAAAACAGAGATAAGATAGTTAAATAAGGCTGAGCAACTAGTAGCCAGCTAATAAGTCACAAGATCTTATCTTCCCTAACCAAGGATACTTAGGAGCAGATGGTTTATAACTCTCTTCCCTAACTGTAGAGTGAGTAGATTAAATCATCCTGGTTACGGAGATTAGATAACAGAGACCCAGTTGGTGGCATTAGTGCCAGCCAAACCCCAGAATGAATTAAGTCAGGGGAATAAAAACCAAAAAAAGCTCAATTAGACCCAAATCCAAGATAAAAGTAAAGCAGTGAAGCTGACCAGAGAATGATCCCAAACTCTCCTATATGATCATTTTGATGCATCAGCATATTAAAGGACACACCTGGAAACCTATTGAATATTGTTGAAATTCTCCCCTAAAACTCCTGCCTTTGGAAAACAAATAAGCTCTGGCTGGTATGGCTCCGTGGACTGAGTTCCAGCCTTCACATTGAGAGGTTGCCAGTTTGATTCCCAGATGGGGAACATGCCTGGGTTTTGGGCCAGATCCCCAGTTGGGGGCATGTGAGAGGCAACCAATGGATGTATCTCTCACACACTGTTGTTTCTTGCTTTCTCCCTCCCTTCTTCTCTCTCTAAAAGGAAACAAATAAAATCCTAAAAAAACCCCCAACAGGTAAGAACCCTCAAGACAAAGGACCCAGTGTGTATTCTCTCTTGAACACACCCATCCCCAGACCCCTTTCCTCAGGCAGGTACTTTTGCTTTCTTTCTCCTAAACTCTAAATGTTCTCAGGAGACTTGCAATCAGGGGAGCAGCAGGCAGTGGCTACCCATCCTGGTCTAACCCCCTGAATCTGTCTCCAAGGGCCCTCCTTTTACCTCAGTAACTTCCTTTCCTCAGTCCATGCAGTCCAGCTCACTTCTGTTACTGTGACTTCCTTTCCTTCATTAGACATCCCCGTCTAGGCTCATTCCTGTCGCTGTGATCCTGTCTCTTTTATCTTAAACCCTTCCTTTGTTTCACTGACCCCAGATTTAATAAACGTACTCTCAAAATCACTTGGACTAGTGTCTTGAAACCTTTTCTGCAAGGAGTCAAGAACCCACACATTCCAGCATGCTCTCCCACCTGGAAGCATACCCATGTCTTTCTTCCCTTCCATGCAACTCCTAAACTCTTAAGGGTCTCCATGAGACTTGCAACCAAGGGAGCAATGGGCAGCAGCAGTTTGTTCTGGGTTAATCCCCTTAACTGTTCACTAAGCCCCTTTTGTCTGACTTCTCATCGAGCTGACAGTAGCTCTATCTTGGCTCACTTCTTTCCCATAACATTTCTAGAGAGCCAAAGCAGCCCCGCCTAGGTCTCTTCTGTTGCTTCCCTATCCTAGGCTGTTCCTTGTTTCACTGTCCCCAGCTTTAATAAACGTTCTCTCTAAAAACAAAACTCACAGGAAACCTGAGATTGAATCAAGATTCAGAAAATCTAGATGTAGATGTAGCTGTCATTATTGCCTATATCATGGAGATCCTTCTGATAATATTAGCATGGGGAATAATTATGACATGGAGCCACTTTAGTCATAAACCTCATTCTTGTACTTTTTTTTTGTTAGTAATTTTAAGGTCATTATGCAGCAGCTTGGAAAAGCTACTCTATGCTAGGATAAACGGCATATCAATATTTTAAAAAAGATTTTATTTATTTATTTTTAGAGAGAAGGGGAGGGAGGGAGGGAGAGAAACTTCACTGCATGATTACCTCTCACATGCCCCCTAACCAGGACCTGGCCAGCAACCCAGGCGTGTGCCCTGACTAGGAATCAAACCAGCAATCTTTCTGTTCGCAGGCCAGCACTCAATACACTGAGCTACACCAGTCAGGGCTGCATATCAGTATTTTAACAACCTATTATAGAAATTTTGTGATGTCTTTTTCTTGTATCTTTTCCTTGTCTACCTTGATGTCAGTAATTTATAAAGAATATGTAGTTTGTATTTGAATGACTTCAATACACTTCCTTTTTTCATTTGACTGAAAGAAGCACTAATAGGTCTGGGTGGTGTTGTGTTTTAAAAGCCTGAAGTCAGTAAGATGTCACCCAAAATCAAGATTTAAAAGCAAGTGACCTGTGTAGAAGGAATATAGAAAAGAAAACATGGAGTGGTTTGGCTAGAGTATGATTAGTGCAGGGTACATTAATTCAATTCTCTGGTTTTCAAAAATTTGAACTGTAATATATTTCTTGGTGAGCTATTTCAATTTTTAGTAGCAAATAAATATGTATATAGGGCATCTTATTAATATTTGAGGCATAGTTGAGACCTTAAAGAAAACCTGACACATCCTAAGTGTCAGCAGTGCCAATGTTGAGTTTCTTAAGGGAGCATGATTCCAGCCACACCACTTACTGGCTATGCAATCTGGGGTAATTTGACCCATCGCTGTCTCAGTTCCCTCACCTAAAAAGTAGAATACAGTAATTGGATTCCCTACTTCATAGGAGTATTGGATGAAATGGTTAAGATATGTAATGTCCTTAAAACCATACCTGGCATGTAACACATTTGCTATTGTCATCCCTTCATTGTGCCTCATTCCCTTCATTGATTCTTCAAGAGCTGCCTCTTGCCAGGGGATATGGAAGAGGTACATGTAAAAGCCATTCTATTGGTTTTGGCATTCTATTTATTCTTCTTGGAGAAGTCTGGTGTGAAAAACAAAGTGTCTCCCTACTCTTCTTTCCAATTCTCTCCCACGCCTAGTAACATCTACATTTTCAAGAACCTCCTGGGCCACTGGAGGGGCCAGTGGCTGGATGGCCAAGCTACAGGTCGATTATTTCCTTAAGGAAGCAAACACTTCAGCCCTCTAATATAGTATTGGGCTGGAATATCAACAGGAAGTTCTACAGGAAAGAGCTCTGTGGAAACACTCATTGCAAAGGAGATTGGTAAAATGACAAATTTGCTCAGTCTGTACAACAAACACCCTGCAACCTTACATGCTACCCGTTGTAGGGCTTCACTTACCGGCAGGCAGCTGCTGACCCTATTACTTTTCTCTAGGTTCCTGAGCCAAGGAGACCTGTAGATCTGACTTCACTTGAAAAAAATCAAACAGGCAAAAATTTGTACTTACAAAGCAGTTGGACCATTTATTAGCATTAAAAAAAAAGCATTCCTTTAAACAAGGGACGGGATACTGTTCACTAAAGTCTTACCCATTTTATAAAAACTTAAGACCAAATTCTCTACATTGGCACATAGCTTAACCATGAACAGCAACAAAAATTAGAATTAAATGAACCAAACTGTCCCGCTAGGGCATAAGAGGAAAGCAGGGGTGGGATGCGAAGTTTTTGCTTTCACATTACAATGTTAAAGGAACCTGAACCTAATAATTCCCCAGCGCGGCACAAAACCGCTTCCCGTTGTTTCAAGGTAGTCACATTTAATTATCAATAGTCCAAGGGCTAGGAAAATTTCGTGGAAATCAGGGGCGTACCCTTTGGCTCCGAGTGTGCTAGGACTGGCTGACACACTTGGGGAAAAGCGCCCTTATAGAATCTCCAACATCAGGTCTCAGCTTCCCAACCTATAAAATGCAGCAGTGGCGAGAGAAGACCCGTTAGGCTTCCAGATCAAAGTCATCGCGCTCTTCATTGTACTCCAGCACGTGCTGTTTGATCTTGGATGAGTCAACCCAAGTAACGAAGTCCTCCATGCTGCGGGTGACAAGAAATGCGGGGTCGGTGACCACATTGGGGCCCACGCGCACGTGGCCCTGCTCCACGAAGGCCACGGCAGCCTGGAGGTGCTGCGCCATGCGCAGCTTAAGAAGCACGGTGGGCAGGCGGCGGCGACAGAAGGACGAGGCCGTGACGAAGTCGCAGAGCTCGAGTGACGTGCGCGTAGGTACCAGGCCAAGAGCGTACAATTTGTCCAGCAGCGCGGCGGAGGAGCGCACGCGAAATGGGTCGCGTTCAGGCAGGTCGCGCAGGCGCCGCGCCAGCTCGCGCACTGAACGGCTCAGCTGGTTGTAACGCGTGTAGTCCTCACGCCGCTGCAGCCGATAACGCCGCAACACGCGCAACTCATGTAGGTTTTGGTCAGTGACCTCCCAGTTCAGAAAGTCCACCTGCTTCAAGAGCTTCTGTTCGTGAAACTTAAGCTTCCGGACCATGACGGCAGCTGCAGTATCCCTAGGACGCTAGGCAGAGCACACGTTCCGGGTTCAGCGTGACTTCCGCCTCTACAAACGATGGCCCACTCGGACAACTGGGCCAATGAGGGGAAGGCCCATGGCCACGCCCCCAGCTTCCATTGGTCAGGGTGGGGCCACGCCTCCACACTGTATCTCGCGTTTTTTCTTTTCCCTCACTCGCCCGGAGGGAGAGGGATCTGGGCGGGGCCGGGAGGGCGGAGCCGAGTTGAATTGCCAGGAGCCCGTCTGTTTCTACCGTGATCATTTTTTGTCATTCAGATGGATGTGTTTTAGGGACTCATAGGAGAGTCTCCCTACAAGAGCTTAAGAGGCCAGTTGCGAGGAAGGGGGAAGGCGGCGCTTGTTTCGTTGGGTTTACGTAGTGCTGACCGTTAGGTTCTTTTTAGTTTGTGGGAGACCTCGCGGGAGGGCGGAACGTTTTTTTCCTGCTAAATGGGGCTGGGCTGCAGTGAACCTGTGAAATACAGATTCTCCGGCCGCTTCCTACATGCACAGAATCGGGATCTGTATGGGAGCTACCTGGAAACCTGCATTTTGGCAGGATTCCACTTGATTCATAAAACCCAGCAAGTTTGAGAAGCTTGGGTAGTAGGTACAAGTCTTGACCCTTCAGTGCAGACTCAAACGAATTTGTTTGACAGGGTGGATATCCGGTCACACCTAATACTGAGTTAACAAAGGTAACTCAGTTATTTCTAACCTATACCTGCGTGTAGGCTGCAAGACTAACCTCTTTATTTGTCCAAGCCTTTGACGCCACCTAGCTTCTTCGCTGATCATTTTTTGTATGCTTTTTTTTAAAGTATAATATTTGGTATATGATAAATAGAATTTGTATCATATGTAAGTTATAAAGTATAATGAATACTTATAAACCCAACAGCCAGTTTAATGTCACCAGGTCTCCCACCCAGTCTCCTAAATAGAGGTAAAAGTATCTATTCTGAATTTTTTGTTTAAAAAAAAAGTTTTAGCCCTAGCTGGTGTGGCTCAGTAGATTGAGTACCACAGGGAAAGATTTGAGGGTTCGATTTCCAATCAGGACACATGCCTGGGTTGCTGGCTGGACCCCCAGCTGGGGGTGTGTGAGAGGCAACCAATCGCTGTATCTCTTACATCAATGTTTCTCTCCCTCTCTTTCTCTCTACCTTCCCATCTCTCTAAAAATGGATAAGTAACTTTTTTTTTAAATGGAAAGAAAAGAAAAACAGTTTTATACTTAACTGGCTGGGGAGATACTATAATCACAAAGGTGGTTTTTCTCAGAGTGAGGTTTATCCATTGCACCCTGGATGTGCTGACCCCAGCAATTTCCCCAAATGTGGGAAACTCGACTGCATAATTAAAAAAAATTTTTTTTTAATCCTCAACAGAGGACATTTTTTTCATTGCTTTTAGAGAGAGAGGAAGGGAGAGAGAGAAATATCGATGTGAGAGACAGGCATCCATTGGTTGCCTCCCATACATGCCTGGAGTGAGATCATATGAGCAGGGACCTGGATGGAAACACAACCTAGGCAAGTGCCCTGGCTGGGAATGGAAACTGCAACTTTTTGATTACAGGACATTGCTCCAACCAACTGAGAGCTACACTGGCCAGGACACCACTGCATCATTTTTGGTAGTGGGAAACTGCATTTGCCCTGGCAAAAACAAAAGAAAGAAAAATAATTTTATCATTATACATGCATCCCTAAATATGCATCCTTCTCACACAGAGTGTAGCTTGTGGACCAGCAGAGAGCTCATTGGAAATGCTGAATTTCATGCCCCATTCCTGAGCTACAGAATTAGAATCTGCATTTAACAAGATCCCCAGGTAATTTGTATATATACCAACATTTGAGAAGTGTTGCTTAGAAGGAATCACACCATATGGAATTATATGTAGCTATAGTTGTTTTTTACTGCTGCATAATACTCCATTGTTTGGCTCTATCCAATTTATTAATCTTTTTTCCTTTTGGATTTTTTTTGAAGGGACTATTTTTTTAAAAAAAGCCATGTTATTTTTTTCATTTTCAGAGAGACGAGAAGTGAGGGAGAAAGTGAAGGAGAGAAACATTGACTAGCTACCTCTTGTTTGCTCCCAAATGGGGACCTGGCAGCAACCCAGGCATGTGCCCTGACAGGGAATTAAACTGGGAACCATTTGGTTCACAGGCCAGCGCTCAATCCACTGAGCACACTAGCCAGGGCTGGAGGGACTTTTTTTTTTTTTTAGCAGTGCTGCCAGTAACATTCTTGTAGGTTTTCTTTTGCACATATACATATAATAACTTCTAATATCTTGGAGCCCAATTGCTGAGTTGTAAAGTATGTGCATGTTCAAACTTACTACATACTGTCAAATATTTAACGAAAGTGTTGTCCTTTGTTCCTCGTTCTCAGTTATTTTTAAAATATTTTAGTAATTTGGAGAGTGTGTGATGGTATTTCATTGTAATTTTAATTTTCATTTCCCTGATGTGTTTACTCCGTTTTGGAATGTCTTTTCATGTCTTTTGTCTATTTTTCTATTAGACTGTATAGTAAGTCGAATTATGCCCCCCACCCCCAAAGATGTCCACCCAGAACCTGTGAGTATGTTACCTTACATGACAAAGGGGATTTTGCAGATATAACTAAATTAAGGATCTGGAAATGATGAAATTATCCTGGATTGTTTGGGTGGGTGCCCTGTTATCACAAGTGTCCTAGTAAGTGAAAGAAAGAGACAGAAGAACCAGAAGAGATATGGTGATGGAAGCAAAAGTCTGAGTGATATGATCACTGGCTCTGAAGATGAAAGGGGTCCTTACTAGAGGAATATGGTCATCCTCTAGTAAACCCATAAAAGCAAGGAAATGGATTTTTCCCTAGAGTCTCCAGAAGGAACACAGCTGTGCTGACACCTTGATTTAAGCCCTGTGAGTTTGGATTTTTGATCTCCAGTACTGTAAGGTAATAAATTTGTGTTGTCGTAAGTCATTAAGTTTGTGGTAATTTGTTACAATAACTACAGTAACAAACTTATATAGATGGCTTTCTTTTTTTTTTCTGGTTGATTTGAAGGTGTTCTTTATATATCCTGGATATTAATCCTTAACCAATTATATATGGTACAAATATCTTCTCCCAGTTTGCACTTTATCTCTACCCTTCATATTCCCTTAGCCTCATTCCCTTCTAGCTCTTGCTCAACATGTCTGGAGCACTTCTCCCCAAATATGATAAATAAGTAAATTATATGTTAGTGGGTGGTATCATGAAACAATTCAGCAGGATTTAGAAGGGCTTGGGGTGAAGATGGGCTATAATTTTAAATAGGGCATGTTGGGGTGGTTTTATTGAAGTGGTATTTAATAGGTAGTCATGTGCATATCTAGGGGAAGAGCATTTCAGGAAGAGGCAACAGTACAAATGCCTTAAGACAGGAATGTGCCTGGCATGTCAGAAGAGGAGTAACAGCCATCTTGGTTGAAGCAAAGGGGGCTAGGCAGGCAGGCAAGGGGACTCACATAAAGAAGCTTGTTGGCCTATGTAAGGATTTTTTCTGCTGAGTGAGATAAGAACATTACAGGGTTTTGTGCAGAGGGTTGACATCTAACTTACGTTTTAAAAGGATCACCCCGATGCCATGTTGAGAACAGACTATCGGGAGGCAGAGGTGGAAACAAACCATTAGGAAGTTGTTGCAGTGATCCAGGCGAGAAAGATGGTAGCTGGGACCAGGAGAGCAGCAGTAGCAGTGAGACGATGATTAGAGGAGTCCCAGGATAATGAGGGAAGTCAAGGATGCCTCCAGTTTTTGGCCTGAGCAACTGAAAAAAAAGTATTCATTATCTGACATAGGGAAGGGTGCCAGGTAGAACAGTTTTGGGGGGCAAGACCAGAAATTCAATCTTGGCCATGTTGGGTTGGAGATGTGTATATATCCAAGGGGAGAAGTCAAAGAGAAAGATGTGAATTTGGAGTTTTAGAGAAAGGGTTGGGGTGGAGATTAAAAAAAGAAATTGGGTGTTATTGGCAGATGAATGGAGTTTGAAGCTATGAGTCTAAAGATAAGAGGGCCACAATACTGGAGTCACTCTAGTGTTAAGAATTATTGGAAAGAAGAGGATGAATCAGGGAAGTAGAAGGAAACCAGGAGAATATGGTCTCCCCAAAGCAAGTGAAGAAAGTGTATGCAAGGGGAAGGAATTACCAAATTGGTCAAATGCTACTAAGTTGAGTAGAAAGAGGAGGACTGAGAATAACTAGTGAGTCATTGATGACCTTGCTTAGTTTCAGTGGAGTGTGAAGGTGAAAGAATGGCGAGAGAGGTTTAAGAAGAAAAAGGGTTTTTTAATTGTAGGCAACTGGTTGGTATGGGTGCCGTTTGCATGAGCTTTGCTGCAAAGGTGAACAGAGAAATGGGGCAGTAGCTTGTAGGGGAGAGGAATCAATTTTTTTTTTACTGTGTGGGTTGATTCTTCCCTTAATACCCACATATTGTTGATTAACATTCCTATCTGTCCCACCTCCATAAACTCCCATATTTACTTCTCTCTAGCCCATTACTCCTGCCCTGTTTCATGCCCTCATCATCTCTTGTCTGCATTACTGTAGTAATGTCCAGTGTGTCTGCTGGGCTGCCACTGGCCAGGTCTCCCTGGAAACCACTGGCCATGGCTCTCCCTTGCTCACTCCTTTCCTAAGGAAGGAAGTTGGATGCCTGGATGGGGGGATGGATGTTGTTTCCTGTGCAGGAATCAGAGTCCCAGCAGGAAAGAGAGAACAAACTCAAATTACAATAATGTGAAGATAATTTAATAAAGGAACTTTCCCCAAACTAATGGGCAGAGTGTAGGGAAACCACAAAGGTTAGTGGTTTCCTGGGAAGTGTGACCAGAGGCTCTGTAACTCCTAGGCTTGAAGAGAGTCCCTGGAAGGGTGGGAATGGAGGATAAAAGCTCTGGAAATGTCTGTGAGGCTGAAGAGTGAGTTTTCCCTAAGAACTTGGAAATAAGGGTGGCCCCTGAGAGTTAGAAAAACCCACCCAGAGCAGATGTGGGAGTAAATCAAAGACGGCTGGCCTGTAAATGTGTGACTGAAGTGTTTGGGAACCAAGCAAAGACCATCAAGGTGATGGCTGGGGGCCCTTCAGGGCGATGGAACTGAAGTAGGACCCTAGACATATGAGAGCAGAAATCCCAATTGTATTTAGTGAGCTAATAAAGATAAAATGTTTACAACAGTGTGAGGCACTAAGGAAGTAGCTGCTATTGTTACACCTAGCTTGGAGTGAGGCTTTGTGAACAGAAGAGAGATCACAGAAAAGAGGCCTCTCAAAGCAGCTGGGAGAAACATGTATTTATGCTCTGGTCATAGAGATACTAGGCTAAACTGAGTCCTTAGAATCAAGGCTGCTACCACAGAGGGGGATAAGATCTTACAGTTTCTTGGTTGACAGACTTGTCATACCATTCTCTTTTCCTCTCCTGGGGGTTCCTGGTTCACAGTGCTAACCTTCTGGTACCTGGGCTTCCCAAGGAGCAGCCCAAACTGCCTCTATCTACTGATGCAAAAATTTGGATTTTTGCAACCACACATTGATGTTTCTTTCCCTCTCTTTTTCCTTCCTTCCCCTCTCTCTGAAAGTCAATAAATAAAATATATTTTTTTAAAAAAGGACTTTATTTGGGTCAAATGCCAGCCTTGCACAGGGAGGGTATTGGATCTATTTACTGCACCAATGAATTTGAGTTTAGAGCCAGAAGCCTGCAGATCACATCCCTCAAAATAGCCAAAGGTGTCCACCTTAACTGGTGCCCAGTTAATCTGCAACAAGTGGGAAGAGTGAGAATGAGTGGGAAGTAAATCCTAGCTAGAGGGGTAGGTAAGGTTCCAGGGCATGGCCAGGAAGAGGAGTAGGAACTGAAGCCTTTGCTTCACATCTCCTCCTCCAGGAAGACTTCCCTGCTCCTTGATTCTTGCTCCATACAGGCTTCGATCTGTAGTACATTTCATGGGACTGGTCACACTGGGCAGGGAGCATCTGTCTACCTCTCCAGACACACCTGAGCATCTGGAAAGTCAGGACAATGTCTTATTCCTCTTTGTAGTCCAGGGACTTGGTACTGAAAAAGCTACTTAGTTAATGTTTTCTTGAGTGCATGATTGGGATGAATGAGACAGAGACAGAAAGGATGGATTAAGGTCAAGAGGGTGAACTGTAAACCCTTGAGAGCAGGAACCCAGACTGCCTTGTGCTGTAATTCCAGGGCCCCTGAACAGTGCCTGGCAGTCAGTACCCAAAATGTTCTGGATGAGCTGGCCAATGAAGGGTCAAATCCCCCTTGCCTCTTCCTGGAAGTCTCCCGGCTTCTGCAGCTGCTGGCAGACAGAACACCCTGTCCCCACCGCGTCACGAAGCAACAAGGAACCAGGTGTGGTACCTGGGCCTGTTTCTGTCGCTACAACATGTCAATCAAAAAACTTCCATGAAGGAAACTTCCCAAGGCAGTTCCTGGCTCTTACTGGCTAAGGTACTAGGACCCGCAGCGGCCACTATCCCAGGCCACTGAGGCTTCTTCCATGAGGGTGCTGCCGCCTCTGGGGGCCCCTCCGGAGAAAAATCTCCGGCTGCACCACCACTGCCCAGTCCCACCAGAGCTGAGGTGGGGAACGTCTGTGACTCACCAGGCACCCTCTTTTAATCGCCTCTCGTGGTCCCGGCACTGGCACCCTCCTTGCAGCCCCTCACTTTGCAAACTTTCAGAGTTCTCCACTGGCGTCATGGAAAAGGCAAGGAGGGTGACTGGATCCTAGGAAGAGAGGAGGCGGCAGTGGCTGTCAGGGGAGGAGAGAGTTCAAGATGCACAAGACCCTCAGGGCAGAGGCTTTTCTCCGTGAGGGCAGGCTGTTCCTAGAGGCTCGTACCCCACCCCCTACCCCCAGCCGGGTCCGGGTCTTCCCGTATCCGGATAAAGGAGCTAGCGATGGGCCAAAGCATTGCGGTAGTTAAGGGCAGGAGGGCGGGGAGGGCGGAGCCGACGTCCCTGCCTTGCCCTGCGCAGCTCGGGAGAGCAGTGGAGTTTGCCTGCTTTCCCTCTCTCCACGCCTCTCCTTACCCAGCTCCTCCCCTGCGGCTGTTTCCTCCTCCAGGACGCCACCTCCCGGAATCGACTTTTTTTATTTTATTTATTTTTTACTTTTTGGAGCTGGCCACTCGCTGGCTGTGCCGAGGGTCTGCGAGTGCTGGAGGAGCCGGCTGGGGCGCAGGGGCCGCAGCCTACCGCCCACTGCGGGACCCACGGAAAGGAGGCCGACGGCCCGCCACGCCATCTGCTCGGTGGAGCTCACTCTGCTAACTCCTGTTGAGTGTATGCGTGCAGGGCTGGGCAGGGGTTCTGTACGCCGGGCGCTGGGCGGCTTACCTTTGGACGGGGTCCTCGGACTCGGATCAGGTCAGCTTCAGGCTCATAAACTGCTGAATAATTAGGCAAACAAAAGAGGCCACTCAACTGGTGGACAGAAATCGCCTGAACGTCACTTTGCTCCCTTCCTTCCCTTGGGTGGGGGCTGGCCACTTGAGTGAGGAGCGGGTGCCCGAGCTGCCCGGGACCCCCTGGCCCGTCTGGTCCGAGAGTTGGCGGCCTGTTGTGTAAGCCTCAGTCCTTGTTTTCCCAGCCTGGCTCGTTGGGAAGCTGGACACATCCACCCTTGGACTCGATTCAGGAAGCCACTGCTTTTCTCCTTGCCCTTCTTGGATTTTCTGGATTTTTGAAAACCCAGTGGCCCAAGAGGAGTAGGAAGGAGGAAGGAGCAGAACTTCGGAGGAATGTGACAGAGTCTTCCAAGGCCTGAGGAGCCAGAAGGAGCTGGGAGCCAGAGCTGCAGGCATTCTGGAACCGTTTTGGAGTGATTCTCTTTTGTTTCAGAACGTTGTTCCAGTGGAAAGTGGAATTCTTGCCCTCTCAGGGCTGATTTCTCCGAGTCACTTGACTTTTCTACTGAGAGTGGGAGGAGGGAGAGACTCCCCTTAAGGGGCAGCCAAGGGAAGGGAGGAAAACTATGGATATGAGGTCCCCCTGCCCCCAGGCACGTGCTGCGGGACTTGATAGGGATGTTTCTGGGCCATGGGCACAGCTTTGAAGAGAAGAAGGCCAGATAGCATCTCTGGGTGCTGAGACCTGCCTTAGGGACTGAGAGACTGAGCTGCTGGGGCAGGCATTGGTTTGCTAGTACCTTCTTGGACACCTCAGTTCTGGGCAGGACCCTCTCCTCATCTTTCTCTACCACTGGCCCAGCCATGGCACTAAAAGGCCGAGCCCTCTATGACTTCCACAGCGAGAACAAGGAGGAAATCAACATCCAACAGGGTGAGGACCTGGTCATCTTCAGTGAGACCTCACTAGATGGCTGGCTGCAGGGCCAGAACAGCCGCGGTGAGACAGGGCTCTTCCCTGCCTCTTATGTGGAGATCATCCGTTCTGGCACTAGTTTCAACCATGCTGACTACTCCAGCAGCCCCGCAGGCTCTCCAGGCACCCAGGTGAGCTTGTACGACAGCCCCAGTGCAGCCAGCCCTGGGAGTGGTGGGGGCAGTGGCTTCCTCTTAAACCAGGGTAGCTTCGAGGAGGACGATGATGATGACTGGGATGACTGGGACGATGGATGCACAGTAATGGAGGAGCCACGGGCTGGTGGGCTGGGCACCAATGGGCACCCCCCACTCAACCTCTCCTACCCTGGTGCCTACCCCAGCCAGCACATGGTCTTCCGGCCCAAGCCATCCCTGGAGAGACAGGACAGCCTGGCATCTGCCAAGCGAGGTAGTGTGGTGGGACGCAACCTCAACCGTTTCTCATGCTTTGTGCGCTCTGGAGTGGAGGCTTTCATCCTGGGCGATGTGCCCATGATGGCTAAGATCACTGAGACATACTCCATTGAAATGGGCCCTCGTGGCCCCCAGTGGAAGGCCAACCCCCACCCGTTTGCCTGCTCCGTGGAGGAACCCACCAAACAGACCAAATTCAAGGGCATCAAAAGCTACATTTCCTACAAGCTCACACCCACCCATGCTAGCTCCCCTGTCTACCGGCGATACAAGCACTTTGATTGGCTCTATAACCGCCTGCTTCACAAATTCACTGTCATCTCTGTGCCCCACCTGCCAGAGAAGCAGGCCACAGGCCGCTTTGAGGAGGACTTTATTGAGAAGCGGAAGCGGCGGCTCATCCTCTGGATGGACCACATGACCAGCCACCCTGTGTTATCCCAGTATGAGGGCTTCCAGCATTTTCTCAGCTGCCTGGATGACAAGCAGTGGAAGATGGGCAAACGCCGGGCAGAGAAGGATGAGATGGTGGGTGCCAGCTTCCTTCTCACCTTCCAGATCCCCACAGAGCACCAGGACCTGCAGGATGTGGAGGATCGTGTGGACACCTTCAAGGCCTTCAGCAAGAAGATGGACGACAGCGTCCTGCAGCTCAGCACTGTAGCATTGGAGCTGGTGCGCAAGCATGTAGGGGGCTTCCGCAAAGAGTTCCAAAAGCTGGGCAATGCCTTCCAAGCCATCAGTCATGCCTTCCAGTTGGACCCCCTCTTTAGCTCTGAGGCCCTCAACAGTGCCATTTCTCATACGGGCCGTACTTATGAAGCTGTCGGTGAGATGTTTGCTGAGCAGCCCAAGAATGACCTCTTCCAGATGCTTGACATGCTGTCTCTCTACCAGGGTTTGCTCTCCAACTTCCCAGACATCATCCACCTGCAGAAAGGTAAGAGCCAGTGTAGAGTGTCTGGAGACCTGCAGTGAGTCTGCTGTCTGCTGGATGTGGGGTTATGAACATGGCCTACACAGATAGAACAACTCGAGTTTTTCTGTCTCTGTCTTGTTCATTCATTCAACAAGTGTGTTGAGCACCCACTATGTGGCAGGTGCTATTCTAGGTGTAGGGATATTATTGTGCCTAGATCTGGTCTCTGTCCTCATGGAGCTTGCTGTTTACCTTCTTGCCCTTTCCTTCCTTTCTTCATTGCTTTCTTCTGTTTCTGTCTCACTTTCTCATTTATGTGTTATACAATGTACCCTTCAAGGTATCTGGCTGGAGTTGAGAACATGGGATGACCAGGGCCCGGACCTTGCCCTTGAGGAGCTTACACAGCTATAGACCCAGACAACGAGCACAATGTGGCCTATCTTCCCACTAAGTCACAAGCTCACCTCCCTCCAGAGTCTGTTCTCACCACTGCATGTCCTATCTGTAAGCTCCCAATCTGTGTGCCAAAGGTCAGTGGTCCCCATTTTGCAGATGAAGAAGGTGGTGTCCACGGAAGAGTGGTTGCACAGGGAGCCCATGACCCAGCTGAAACTGTCCCTTCCTTCTGTGCCTACCCAAGCACACATCCATGTTGGCCACCTCCCAAACCTGGCCATGTTTTCAGTTCTCACGGACCCTGTGTAGGGGAGGGACAGGATGGGCCCCTCTCTGTTACTGCAGGGTTGTCTAGGAACTGCCAGGGAAGTGACTCATCCCGGGTTACCCAGGGGCACCTAGGCTGGGCCAGGGAGGAACCAGGGTCTCATGGCCCATCTAACTCCCCCTTCCTGAGCTGTCTTCTTGCCTGAGCAGTGAGTGGGCTGACCTGACCTAGCGGTGACTGAGTTCTGGGGACAACAGGCAGGTCAGATGTCAGAAGAAGGTGTGGTCCTCCCTGGGGCTGCTTAGTAACTCGGGAAGACTGTAGGGCGTGGGGCTGGCTCCTTGGCCCCTAGGCATTGAGGTCAGGCCTGGCTTGGTAGGGAGTTTTCCTCTGGGTGGGGCCAGGAGTCGGACCTCTGGATAATGCCTGGGGGTCAGCAAAGGCCACCCCCAGGTGGCCCAGGTGGCTTTCAGTATCCAGGAGAGTGTGGTACAAACCAGCCCTGCTCTCCTTTAGGAGGAGGTTGACTTCTGTAGCTCCAAGCTTCCCTTCTCCCTTCACTTTCTCTTTTCTCTTCTCTGCCCTTTTCTCTCATCTCCCCATTCCCCTCCTCCTCCTTTCGTCTTCTCTCAGCTTTAGGAGACAGGAGGCCTGAGCTCTAGTCTTGGCTCTTCCCCCTGGAAAGTGCCTTCCTGCCTCTGGGGCTTAGTTTCCTGATCTATAAAACAAGGGAGAGTGGACTCAGTGAGCTCTTAGGCCCAGGTTTGGGGAGGGAGACTTAATGCGGAGGGTCTGACTGAGGACAGTGATGCCTGAGATCTAGCTCTGAGCTCTGGGCAGGGATAGGGCAGAGGAGATGGCCTGGCTGGTTGGGGCCCACTGGGGCAGGTGTCTCCCTGGTTCAAAGAGGAGCCACACCCACTGCAGCCTTAGGGCCTGGGAAAGCTGGTTTAACCAGTTCCTTGGATGGCATGTTTCTATGTGGGCAGTGGGAGGGGGAAGCAAGGGCATAGTGGTTAAAGTGCTTCTAAACCACTGCCGTGGGGTGCCTGGGGACCTTCACCCAGGGCAGGGCTAGGTGCGTCAGGCAGCCCCATACCCAGGGCTCCCAGGCTTGTACTGAAATAGAAGGGAGTGAAGCCAGACTGGCCTTTCTGACCCTTGTGCAGGGAGACAGAACTAAGAGAGGCCATTTCTGACTTTCCACTTGAGGTGTTTCTAAGAATGAGTGGCCAACAGTCCTCTGGCATGATGTATTCAAGCTTAGGCAGAGTCCAGCCCACCTCCCCAATAAGCGAGCCCCTTCTGGGCTTATTCTCTCTCTTTCTGGACTCTGCACTGTCATTCCTAGGCCTGTGTTCTGGTGAGTTAGGGAGGGGGCTTGGAATCTGGCTGACACAGAATTGGGCAGGTTTTATAGGCTGATAGCCTGCTGGAAGGAGGAGAGATCCCATGCTGGCCCTGCACTAGAGCCTTTTCTCAGAGGAAGGAGCAGGAAAATTGGGTGCTCAAGATTCTGTCCAGCTTGTCTGGACATCAGAAATATGGTGAGGGTGTGGGAGAGGCCATGGAAGAAAGGAATGGGAGGCCTAGATCGGATCAGGAGACCAGGCTTTGGACAAACATTGTCTCTGGGGTGACCTTGAGAGAGTTCTCTCCCATCAGTGTTTACCTTAGTAAAATG